TGATAAGAGTTTATCTATTCAGTGCCAGACCCGACTAGTGAAACAGTGTTTTACAAATCGGCTTTTCTGTGCAGCAATATCACGCAGTCTACATAATACTATCAGCCATGCAGCTTCTGCCCTGAGATCTTTTAAGAGCTTTACTCTACATGGGCCACTGTCACCTTTTACTGGTGCTATCTTGTATTCTATCTCAAACTCTAAATGACCAGTTATGAAGGAAGACAGCCAGTTCTGCATGAAAGCCGTTGCCTCCTGGTTGGGTGGGTCATCTGAGCTGCCACTTCCAGGAAAGATGTCTGCAGCTGATGTGCAATATTCTTGAGTGTTGCTCTGTCTTCAACCAGAATGGACTCTGCTTAAATACTCGGGATCTGCAGTCAGGGCTGGTTCAGCCTCAGGTCCTAAGCTCTCTGACATTAAACATTTAAAACAGTATAGCCCCTGGGTCCTCTGTCTTTCTGATGCTCTCTGGTAAATGGCCACCTGACAATTTACGGTCTCAGAATGCTTTTTACCTTCCTCTTAGTTGCATTAGGATCAAAGATTTTGGATATTAAGTAGAACATAGGAAAGTATCCAAGTGCCAAGGTACCTTGTCTTTCAAGGCTTTGAGGCAGAAAATAGCACAATGCCTAAGGTCTTAAAGGTCTATGGTAGGAGATAAATACACCAAGAGAAAAGGTGGCAAGTGACATGCAAATTCATCCCTTCACTCATTTCTATCCCTACCCCATAACATACAATATGAGCACTTAGTGTTATGTTCGAGGGGGGCATAAAATTACAAGTAGACTGTGTAATGATGGAGGAAGGGGTCTCTAGACTATGTATGTCTTAGTCAAAAATAGCAAAGGCTTGAAACAAGCTTACGGCTACACACAAAGCTAACTCCTGGTAGTGCTAAAATTTCCCAAGTTAGCACAACATACACCAGTCTGCCTCCTTTCAAGTGAAGTTAGTTGCCTCAAGGCAACTTCCGAGGTGTTCTGGTCTCAGGGAGTGCTTCTGGAATGGGTTCCTCTTGGTCACAATTCCTTTATGGAATCATGCCCTAGGGACTGGTATTCATACTGTTTGGAGCTAAAATGCTGGTCTGTGGAGGCCAGAGTAGCACCGAAGCTATGCAACTGAAGATCCTTTTGAGCAGCACTCATATACAGGAACTAGAAGCCTTTCTAGCACTGCCCTCTTCTTAGAAGAACATGCTTCCCCTAATTACCTAAGTGGCAGATTTCCTCACTTCCTTCAAGACCCCACCTCCACCCCCAAATGCTGTCCGTTCAAATGAGCTTCTCTAATGAGCCTGTTTAATTCTGTACCCTGAGCTCACCCCCTATCACCGCATCCAGAAGCCTCAATCTTTACCCTGCTCTAATGTCTTACTTTTTCCACAGCTCACACAAAATATATAGTTTATTTAATGTGTTCTATTTACTTGGTGTGCATTCCCTGAAATGTCAGTCCCATGCTGAAGGGGGAACTTTATTTTGCTCTCCGAGGTGTCCCAAACACTTGCCACAGTGCTTGGCACATAGCAAGAGCTCATTGTGTATTTACTGAGTGACTGAACATGTCTCCTACAGCAAAGACGGTGGAAGGGTAAAAGCCTGACTATATTCTAAGACAGTTTTACAAAACACTATGAAAAGTCACAGAAATGTACATTTTCCTGCAGGAGACAAATGTGGTGAATGAAATTGTCTGACACGTGTGAATTGCTCATGAATTCTGGGAAAGGAAAAATGGTCATTTTTGTTCCCTAATAGATTTTTGTTTCCATCTCCCTTGTTCTCAATGAATTTTAATCACCGATGTCAACTAGGAACAAGTCAGTACACAGCTTCTATGCTTTCCTGCGGTAGAGGCCACAGCTCAGATGGCAGGCAACTAAGAATGTCAGCCAATGTTAATTTGTTGTTGTTACTTGTGCATGCTCCTATCTACCACCAAGTGGAATCAATTAACACACCATTCTCCCCAGAAACACTGATTGGTATTCAGTGAATTTTCTAGGATTCCTATTTCCTGCAAATTCACTATCTGAAAAGGTTTTTTTGTTTTGTGTGTTTCTGTGTTTGTTTGTTTGTTTTTAATGTCAAGCTGACCCTGGCCAGGTAGCTCAATTAGTTAGAGTGTCATCCCAATACACCAAGGTCACATGTTCAATCCCAGTTCAGGGCACATACAGGAATCAAAAAATGAATACGTAAATAAGTGGAACAAGAAATTGATGTTTCTCTCTCCCCCCTTCCACTCCTTCTCTTAAAAAACCAATTAAAATGTTTCTCTTCTAAATAAAAACATAAAAAATAAAAGTTACCAAGCTCAGTGACATCATCAAATAGCAGAACTAAAGGGCCAGTTCACCACCAATGAAATGTTTCAGCCTCTTTTTTCAAATATGAAGGTAAAATAAAGTGAAGATCAATACAGAAATTCACCTTGGGCATATCTTGAATAACTGCCATTCCCATTTTGTTGGGAAATAAGTGATACATATATGTATATGTTTAGCCTTAGCCAGTTTGGTTCAGTGGTTAGAGCGTCAGCCTGCAGACTAAAGGGCCTCAAATTTGATTCTAGTCAAGGGCATGTACCTGGGCCTCGGGGCCCAGTGGGAGGCAACCAATCAATGTGTCTCTCTCACATCCATGTTTCTTTCTCTCTCTCTCTCTCTCTCTCTCTCTCTCTCTCTTTCTTCTGTCCACTCTCTCTGAAAAGCAATGGAAAAAAAATCCTCTGGTGAGAATTGAAAGTATATATATATATTTAAATTATATATATATGTGTGTGTGTGTGTGTGTGTGTATGTGTGTGTATGTTTATATGTACCCATGTCTTGGTGTGTGTCTTCACTGTGAATATCATGAGAGTCATTGTGAAAATGAAAAGAACACTGACTTTGGAGCCAAGGGGCCCTCTATCTGAATCCGAATGATACCAATTTATATACCTTTTACTCTCAAAGCTTTCCCTTTGGATGATAAACTCTATGTTGTTATAAATAATCTTTATAAACTTTCTGATATAGTCATTGCCATCTGTAAGTCTTCAATAAGCGTAGTACTGATTTAACAAATGTTGATGCAAGTTAACTTTCTTGGCATCATTAGGAAGGCCCCACCCTGACTTCTAAGAGAACTGTAACAGTTATTAACAAAGAAAACAAAAGTAGAAAGTGGAGTGATGTCTATAAATCAACGAACTTATAAATATCTGGAAGATGTCACTACCATTTCCATGAAAGGCATGAAGAAAAATGCACCAATATCAAGGTCAACATTAAACCCAGATTCTATTCCTGGCAGTTTACCATTGAGAACCTTTCTGAATTTTGCCTCCATAGGGAAAAAAGATTTCCAAATTATCCATAAGAAATAAGTTTATGCCCCATTAAATTACTACATTATGCCTTACAAGAAAAAGAGAGATTCTCTTTCTGAAGGAAATAAGAACACCAGCAAATAGCAACAATAAAGGTCACCATTCTTGTATGCTGAGCACTGGGACTGACATTTTATATACCTGGTATGTAGCTTTTCAAACTTCAACCCAAGTAGCATAATTAGACATATTTTACTGAAGACTTAACTGTCTTAGAGAAATTGTATAGCTTGTCCAAGGACACACAGTTAACAAGCGATAGTGATGCAATTTTAATCCAGGTCTATCCAAGTTCAAGAAGGACAGAGATTCCAAGTTTTATGCTGTTTCCAATACCATGCTTTGCCTCCAAATTAGTGATTTGAAAGACTGGACACATCCTCAACACACAGAGGGAAAATTCTGTGAGATAATTTCTTAATTTGTAAAGAATCATGAACTGTACCTACTGTCTCTGCTTTTGAGGTAAAAATTAATAAGAATCTAAAGGGTCAACATAGTAAAAAAATGAGCAATCAGTAATGTAAAGAGTATACTGAACCTACACTGACATCAAAGGTGAGGTGGAAGAAGTGACTAGCTAAGAATCTGCCCCTCTGTCCACTTCCACTACCCAATACACACATCATTTCAGGTTTAAGAAATAGCCAGGTCCTTCAAAACACCTATTGAGTTTGTAACCCTCTACCCTTCCCATATCTGCAGATGATTTATTTCTACAAGAAGCTATTTTTTGCCTCATTTCATTTTTTGCTGGGAAAATGATTCTCAAATCTTAGAAACTATAAGAAACTACAATAAAGGTCTATCTCAAATAGCTGTAGATTTAACAGATATACTTCAGGGCAGCTGTGCAACAGGAGTTACCATAAATCCATCCCAACAGACTCTGAACAACCAGCCCCAAATAACTTCTGTCATTATCAGACTGGGCCCGTCATGAGCCAACAATGCAAAGGAAAATACACGGGAGACCTTTTCCAAGGGCTATATAGCCAGAAAAAAATATAACCAATATCAAGATGTTAAAATATAGCTACTAATCGATGGTAACCTTTTGTCCAACATTCTTTGGCTCCTGGGGGGGGGGGGTATGCTCTACAATAGAAATGCCACAGGGTGGCAGCAAGATCTGGAGACAGAACTGAATGACAAAAGTGGTGCTCCCACTCATTTACAAGGTAACCTCAAGGATTATTTGGTCTCTCTGAGCAGTCATGCCCTCACTTACAAAATGAAGGCACTATAAATGGTTTCTTTGGTTGTTAAAAGTATTAGGTATAACATGGCAGGTAATGATAACTAATGGTTTTTGAGCATTTATCATGTGCCAGGTGATGAATGAAGTACTGCTAGTAGATGTATAAACTAGATGCTAGAATTTAGTCCCTTGCTAAAATTCACATAACTAGAAAGTCACAGAAATAGGACTGGAGCCCAGGGAATCAGTACCAAAGCCCATGCTCTTAACCACCCGTGCAGCCTAGCATGGGACTCTGCACCGAGTAAGGACTCAACAAGTCATGGCTACTGTCGCTATTGGTAACATCCCTGTATCCCATAAAATGTGGCCAGGTGGAAAACTGAACACTCACGGCCAGAATGCACAGTACCTGGGGCACGGCTGCAGAAGTTCTCCGTCAACAATGCAGGCTTGTTTCTCCAGGAGCTCAGGGCACTCCTTTCCACCTCCAACGGCAACGTGCTTCACATGCCGGCTCCGGCTCCTAAAGCCCGGCGCGAGACTCCCTGAGTGACACGTCTTGGAGCAGGGACCCCAGGAGGACCACTCGGTGATCTCACAGTCTTTCGGCATGACACAGGACTGGACAGTCAGAGGGAAGGAGTCTTTCATGCAAAGGCTAAAGGAACACAAGCAGAAAACAGTTGGCCACAGATTAAACCGATGCAACTAACACTATGAGGGGCCTGTAACTAAAGAAGAAATTGAAAGCTGGTTTTAGTGTTCAGATTTGAGGATTTAAAAAATGTTAGAGGCATCATGATACAATATTGAAGGATGAACATTTTAAAAATGCATGCTCTGTTTTATCTGAAACTGTGAACTTATTTCACTCTAGCAAGACACATATGTAAGGTGAGTACACCTTGCAACGGAGGTTCTCCTAGAGTGTTTCCACCGACAATACAGCCTAAGGTTACCATTTCTTCACTGGTCCCCAGGTGTCACATGCTGCTTGCCCTTCACAGGCATGCCACAACCTCATGAGCTTACATATTATTGTGTCTGTTTGTAGATGAGAAAACCTTGGCTCAGGAAGGTTAAATCATTGGTCTAAGGTCATACAAAGGTAAATGTAAGCTTTAGAGTATTCATCTATCCATTCTGTTAAATACTAGGCTATAAAAAACACACAAATGTGATAGCTCCCTACATTTTTAGCCTCTGAGCAGAAATTTCTTCATCTGTAAAATTTGAGTGCCATCAAATACGAGCAATCTAATTGGTAAACAGGTAAATAAATAAAAATAAAATAATGTAATAAACTCAATATAAAAGCATTTCTAATGGATGATAAAAATGAACACTGAAGAGGCACTGATGGGCCACCTGGAAAGGCAGGGGTGGAGGTGGGGCGTTCTAACAGAGGACACCTGAGCGGTATTTTAAAAGATTAGTAGGAGTCTCTCAGGCAGAGAAGAAAGACTAAGTCAAACAAACAGCATATTAAAGACTTGATATAACACTCTGTGGGGATGGGAACCAGTGGTATGCTAGAAGTAGAAATACCGTTTCATAAGACCCAACTGTTACATTTTCAGGAATTTTGCAAGCCAGTTGATTTCATGTAAGTCAGTTAAAATCGGCCATGGCAGGAGTATTTATACTACAGATATCAGCAAATGCTACAAATCAAGCCCTGACACCTGACCCCCTGGGGCTGGTGCTTAAACATTTACAGGCATACCGCTGGGGGAAAGTAAAAGCCAATTTGTCAACTGTCATAAATTTTTTAAAGTGTAAAGAGGAAGCAAATAGATATTAGGTACGTGGGATCTTCAAAAGTATGTCTGCAAAGGCTTCGTATCAAGGGCTAAGAATTTTGGATTTAATCGAACATTAAATAACTTATGTGGAGGAAAATCAGAATTACATAGCAAGATAATATTTTAAATATTGATTGGCATTCTTTTACTTTTGTTACTTTCTTGGTGTTAGCCTTTCCCTTATTCAGTCTAAGTTATCCATTGCTTTGGGGGAGGAAGGATAATTTTGACAGGAATGTAAAATCAAAGAAAGAGTCAATGTTAAAATACTGACTTTCAAAAACTGGGCCTATGACATCTTATGGGTAATGAGCTACAGACAGGATTTGGTAACGGTTCCTCTGTACGTGCCTAACAAAGGAGAGAAGTATTAAAATGAGTCCAAGTTTCTAACTTGGGAAAATACGTAGATAAGAGAGCCACCCACAGAGAAGTGGATTCTAGAAGGTGGTGTGAAGGGGGAAAATAAAACCTGCTCATACATGACCATACTGATGAACAAGTCATAGTGAGGCTTCCACACTGATATCCTCATGAAGCCATGGAGAGCTGGTGTCTTTCAAAAGTCACAATAACGTAAGATAAACCTTTGGCCCAGTATTTCATTTTGAAATCGAGTCAGATCATATTATTTCCTTCCAAATGAAAAAGGCAATGTATACTTTATTACCATTACTCATTCCAGTGTGACATTCTAGGGGCTTGGAATCAAGGCACGCTGGGAAGAGCATCTCTCGAAAATGTCCCACCTGATACAGAATGTACCGTCACTGTGCAAGGTGCAGGCAGAGAGAGGGACACCTCTTTCTGTTGTAAAACACAACAGAAAGCCCTTGATCAATAAGTTTTTAGTTTTCCACTTCTCAGAAGTTGTTATTGGCTGAGATGCTTCCCCCCCCCCCC